CTTCCGTCCAGGGAACGGGTACTCCAGTTAGTATATATATATACATATAATAATGATCACAAGTCCAATATTTTTATTCAAAACCTTTATATAACTATAACTCCAACTTAGTTATAGATAAATACTCACAGTTCCTACGGGTACATACAGAAAAATACATTTGAAATATGCAATCACAAAATTATTAAAGAAGCGATTCTTTGTATCAAAAGAAACCGAATATATCGCCATTGGACAACACGACTCCCGATCCCGATGTTCCAAGTTCGTATTTCATAGCATCAGAAAATACAACAAACAGGACTCTACCTAAAAACGGCAGCAGATTTAACAGCTGAAGCATACGGTAAATGATCAAATAGGAAGAAAATAACTGTTAATTTGTTTCGTCTAGTAGTGCAAAGCTTGTTTGTTTGTAATTAAGCACAAAGCTACACCTAACACACGTGGATACGGTGGTTGCGTACTACACAAAGCAACATTCATTTTACTTAGGCATGCATATTTTATCTCCCTCTCTATCTTGCCCCTTTTTGAAGATACGTGTGCTGCCCGTTGTGCAAAATAACCTACTTGATTGTTTGTAATTCAGCACAAAGCTACACAATGGGCTATCTGTGCTCTGCCCACCACGGGTATCGAAACCCGGATTCTAACTTTGTAAGTCCGCAGATATACCGCTGTGCCACTGGGGGGCTAGTGCAAAGCTACAGAAGGGCGATAGCCATCCATAACTTTGAACTGATAAACTAGAGGGATGACAGCTAGTCAACAGCACTCAACGCCAACTCTTGTATACTCTACGGTCCCAAAGTGCGGAGCGCGGTTTTTTATCTTTTGCGGCAACAGTATATCATACGCGAACCACAGACCTTCGGATCCACAGCTCGATACGCTAGCCACTAGTCCACTCCCTGCAAAACAAAAAACAAAAACAAAACAGGAACAGTTTTAGGCAAAAAATTAAAATGAAGTCTAATTTGCTCCTTCCGACATAACTACCGAAATGTATTAACGCTCAATGGAAAATAAACATAATACTTCTCAGAAATTAAACTTAACTGTTTGTATATTGAAAATCACATATAAAGTGTAATAAATAATGTTATTGTTTTAAAACACAAAAGTCATCAAACTCACAAGCCGTACATGTACTGCTTTCAACTTTTTAAATACAGTAATTGTATTTGTAGTTAATCACAAAGCTCCACAATGGGCTATCTGTGCTCTTCTCACCACAGGTATCGAAACCCAGTTTCTAGCGTTGTAAGTCCGCAGACATACCGCTGTGCCACTGGAGGGGTGGGGGGCAAATACATCAATAATATGAAGTTGACTTTTAAATTTCATTTGACCTACTTCCATTTACAGCTGAATTAGATTCTTAAAATAATTTCGTGCAAAATACGTCATTTGCAATCCTCCGGTGGCTCAGCGGCAAGTTTACGAACTAACAACACAATAAATTCCAGGGTTCGATCTCCATAGTGGACAGAGCGTATATCCCATTGTATAACTTTGCGCTATGATAACAACTTCATTTACCATTCTACAAAACATACCTTCACATCACTGTATATCCCATAAACGATCAGTAATTCCAATGCTCATATAACAAGTGTTTTATTACTTTCGTTGAATTAGAAAACTTATTTTATCAACAAGTATATTTTACCTTTAAGCCATAATGACAGAACTTTTGACGCTTATTTTTCAAAACCTTTAGAGAACATCTACATATGTTTCAGAAAAAAATATTACTGTACAGAGTAATTTTACCATTTAACAGATACTTGTGATCTATATTGTACATTTTTATTTTCCCATGCCTTAAAATAGCCTACAAGAGATCTTGTAAAAAGTTCAACACGTGGCCTAAAACAAACTATCTTTGCGCCTGAAACAAGAACAAAGTACCGAAATATTTGGAAACTACCTGTCGATGTTTATCCAAGATCTTCTCTTAAGCGAAGTTTACTCTGCTAGAGTTTACACAAATAGACTTTTCAGGTATGGAAATAGTTGAGATAATTTTGTTGTTCCCTGCTTGCTTGTCATATTTATGACTCATACAATTCTGCATCTCCAGTCTGAAACTTCCATGATTTTCCTATGACAGACAAATACAACTATAGACTGCAGTAGGCATACCACATAAGAGCATGGAGCGAGGATGCGTCACGTCTCCATGGTAACGGAAGTGCTGCTGTAGCAACCAAACAATGAAAGAGGAAGAGAATGAAACCAATACTCCCCACCTAAGTATAGAGGAAACATGGAATACCAGAAGAGTTTAGCAAAGTAAACGGTAATTGTACTTTTACACAATTTACGTGTATTTCTTTCCACATGTCACTGTGTTGATGATATTCTAATATTTTCATAGGGTTTGTCCATTGGAATTTCTTGTCAACTCACACGAAATTCCTTATGTATTTGGCGTATTTTCGCAAAACAAACTGGTAAGAATATATATAATTTAACTATGGATTGTTTTCATCTCCTCATATTCAAATTATAAATGATCCAGTTTCACACATAACAAAATAAAACATAATATAAAAATTAATAAATAAATAAAATTAACACGAACTTCTGAAAACCACCTGCTTTCTCAAAAATCTGCATAACGTCAGCAGATCAAGATGTTTGTATAATATTCAATTCGATCAATCCAACCACCGTTATTATGCATATAGGTCCAACTTCGCTCGAATACTTAAGCACTGAATTTGAAGTACACGAAACTCAATAAAAGATTCAGTAAGGCTACGTAAGTTGGCAAACTGACTAATAAGTCAAGCGTGATAGTTTTGGTTGTGATCCAAACCAAGGGTTGTACCTTGAATATACGGTCTAAAGACTGTTTGTTTGTTTTGAATTTCGCGCAAAGCTACACGAGAGCTATCTGCGTTAGCCGTCCCAAATTTAGCAGTGTAAGGCTAGAGGGAAGGCAGCTAGTCATCACCACCCACCGCCAACTCTTGGGCTACTCTTTTACCAACAAATAGTGGGATTGACCGTCACATTATAACGTGCCCACGGCTGAAAGGGTGAGCATGTTTGGTGGACGGGGAGTCGAGCGCCCTACCACCTGGCCATGCCGGGCTTCGGTCTAAAGAAACAAGATTAACCAAAGTGGTATTTGAATTGTGCTTCATGAAGATAGAAGTTCATTAGGCATACAATCTAGTGAACATTCAGGACTATATGACCCCTTGATTTAAAAGTTACCCTTTATTTTTTATAAATATGTTACGAATAACACATATGTCTAAATAACCGTACACCTCTACTTTTGTGTTATGATGTCAAGACAAGAAATAAATAAACATTCATCACATTTTCACGTACACGGCAAGATACATTATTAAATAGGCTTCTTAGGAGTACACTCTGTTCCTGTGGTGCATTCCATAAACATGCTAATGTCTTAGGTTTACGATTTCAAAGCTCACAGTGTACGAAAGTTTATTGCAGATGGATTGAGGAACATTCCTAAGGTAACTTCACGATTTGGGAACATTGTGTCTAGTCCTTTATGTCTAATCCTCTTTGAAAGTAGAAGATTTCTTTTTAGATAATTTGGCACATAAAACTTGCTGAAATTTACAAATCCATTACCAACACAGAGTTCCAACACCTTTTTGAAAACTGACAACAAACGATTTGCATCTTCAACGAGAAATAAATCCTCATATCTTATAGTCCACACCTTTGCTCTAAAATAGAGTACTTAATCTTCCTTCTTGAAAATTCACTTAAAAGAATATTGATTATAGTTAAGAAATGTTTCAACTCTCATTTCATCATTTCAACTCCTTTCGAATCGTCAAATTGGCTCTCCAGTCGTCGTCTTCTCTACAAATGTCTTCTTTTTCTTGTTATGTTTCAAAATTCTCATATTATGGCTACGGGTGTCATTTGAATAATTTGTACAGGTTTACAACGCATAATTAACCAAAGCCAGTTTTCTGAAGAGATTTACTCGTGGCCTTAACTTCTCTAAGATGGTGTGCCACACAATGGTCATGCCAGCTGTTTCTAACTGACCTAGGTTACTGTAAATAGATTGTGCTCTGTGCCTTCTGGTTGTAGTTTGGTTCTTATCACTTGCTAATTCTTACAACACGGTTTGAATACGATCATATCTATTACGGACAGTACTTATGATGCGTTAGCACTTGTTGAACATCTCGTTTCTCAAAGACTTCACCACAGTAGAATCGACTCCTAGCACTTGAAGAAACAATCCAACCAAGGTTGGAAGTAGTTGTATAAGTGTTGAAATTATTGAAGTAACGCAAAGGATTCCGCAACAAGTGGCCTAGTTAAATTTGACATATGTTATCACTTTGAAATACTTCACTTAGGTTAGCTAAATTTCAGTTTTCATAGTGGTTGTACTGTTAAAATATATCATATAGTTTGTTTTATCAAAGGTAACATCGAATGAGTTTTATAAAGATAAGTTAAAAGTAAAATTTCAGCCTATACCATTTACACATTGTCTTAAACTAAGTGTGGATCCATTTTAAACTTTATAGATCTCACTGAATTTCAATTTGCGTCTTTAAATATTTGTAAAGTTCAAATATTTAGTATAAAAATATGCTATTGCTTTAGTATTTAAAAAAAAGTAGACCATTTTAAATCTGCGGGTCACGAGTTCGAATCCCCGTCCTACATAACATGCTCGCTCTTTCAGCTGTGGGGACATTATACAGTGACGGTAAATCCCACTATTCGTTGGTAAAAGAGTAGCCCAAGAGTTGGCGGTGAATGGTGATGACTAGCTGCCTTCCCTGTAGCCTTTCACTGCTAAATTAGGGATGGGTAGCGCAGATAGCCCTCGTGTAGCTTAGGGCGATATTAAAAACAAACCAAACCAAACCAAAGACAAATTCCTAAGATTACCCTATGATTCTAAATTAACGTGGGTTGCACACATAAATAACATTCTAAGCAAAGTTTGGCAACTTACGAGTTATGGCACAAGTTTAACGGGCAAAAACAAAAAAACTTCCGCTGACAACATAATCAAAATGCACAAAACATACATACGTCCAGTAATTAAATATGCATGTCCGGTATGGATAAACATAGCACAAAACTACATCAATAAACTGCAAATGATACAAAATTTATTACTCGCTACAGTGTACAAGGCACCCAGATCAAAATTTGTGCACAATTATGCAAATATACAAACTATCTCCGATAGACTCCTACATAATTCACTAAATCATTTCGCAAAAAATTGGCACAAAAATGACCTACTGTTTGAATTATATCACAACTGCATACATGATGAAGATAGTCCTAAGTACCTATCACCAATTAATATGTATATTAAAAATAAGAATTTAATCCACCTTACGCTAGACTAAGAAACTCACAATAGTTTTAAGCTGATACGACATCATTGATAAGGTATTTTGTGTAAATGCTTTCGATGAATGTTAACAGACTAAGAAACTCACAATAGTTTTAAGCTGATACGACAGCATTGATAAGGTATTTTGTGTAAATGCTTTCGATGAATGTTAACAGACTAAGAAACTCACAATAGTTTTAAGCTGATACGACGTGTAAATGCTTTCGATGAATGTTAACAGACTAAGAAACTCACAATAGTTTTAAGCTGATACGACAGCATTGACAAAGTATTTTGTGTAAATGCTTTCGATGAATGTTTAAACCAATGTAATGTGATAAATACACGTGGAACTGTTCGCTATGTGCAGGACTTTGCAACATCGAATAAAGAGAAAATTGATTTATTCATATTAACAAGTACCAACATGAACATTGCCTTGAAAGGTGTCAGGGTAAGTATGGGATACTCTGACCTTCATGTAGTATTTAAATTCATATTCTCTTGAAACAGCTACCATCAATCGTGGGGGGGGGGGGGGTCATTTACACCTGACCCTTCTAGGTCTATAAGATGATGAGAAAATGCAAATATATATATATACTATATACAAATGGACCTAACACACGTGGATACGGTGGTTGCGTACTACACAAAGCAACATTCATTTTACTTAGGCATGCATATTTTATCTCCCTCTCTCTTTTGCCCCTTTTTGAAGATACGTGTGCTGCCTGTTGTGCAAAATAACCTACTTGATTGTTTGTAATTAAGCACAAAGCTTCACAATGGGCTATCTGTGCTCTCCCCACCACGGGTATCGAAACCAGGTTTCTAGCGTTGTAAGTTCGCATACATACCGCTGTGCCACTGGAGGGCAACCTACTTGAAAACCTTAACTATGTATTCACTATCAATGTTAATGCTTTTCCAGATTATCAAATATAGGGTGTATCAAAATTAGTGTTTGAAATGGAATATCTTGTATATTATGAAAAGTTAAACAGCGACCGGTGTGGAACAATAAATTTAAATAAAAAATGGGGAGAACCTTATACCACAAATAAAGTGTACATGATATGCAAATGTTTTCAATGTTAACAAAGCCTCGGGCCAGGACGCCCTTCTTCTGGTGATTTTAAAATTTGATAAAATAGAAAGTTTGACACTTCAAATGATTATCAAACAAAGAACGTTCTTTCTAAATGAGTATCAAAAAAGGTCTAAAGAAACATATACACATGAATCAGTTGCAAGTCATTATTATATAAAAATGAGACATTTATTAAAACATTAAAAACTGCTGTTTTAAATTTATTTATTTTTTAACATTATGCTCATTTTAAATAATAATTATTTGAAACTGATTCATATGTATATATTTCTATAGATCCGTTTCATGATGCTCATGTCGAACGTTCTTCATTTGATAATAATCCTTTGTGGTATCAAACTTTTTGTTCCATTAAAGTTTAAAATCACCAGAAGAAAAACGTCCTGTCCCGAATCTTTGTTAACATTCAAAACACTGGCTTATAATTCACCGTTTATTTGTGGCATATGTCCCCCCCCCAATTATTATTTCATTTGAGATGATAAAACTAGAGGAAAGTTTTATTAGATATTTTTAATTCGCGATAAAAATGACCTCGTATAAAAAAGAAAAATCCGTTTCTGCTAAATGTCCCCTGGTGAGTCAGCGATAAGTATATGGACTTACAACACCAA